TAAAAATACTCAAATGTCCATCAACAAAACAATAAATAAATAAATTACTATATGGCAATACCATGGATTAGCATACCATAATCAAAGTGAGCGAATCACTGCTATAAAGCAAACACAGTTGAATATCACAAATGTAAGATTGAGCCAAAGAAGATAGACGCAAAAGAGTACATGCTATACCATTTCATTCCTACTACATTCACAAACAGATTAAGTAATCAACAGTGTGAGAAATCAGAACAGTGCTTAGTTTGGTGAAATAACAGGAAGGTAGTGATTGGACGAGGGCACATGGGGGTGCTTCTGAAGTGCTGGTAACCTTCTATTTCTAGACGCAAAAGAGTACATGCAATACCATTTCATTCCTACTACATTCACAAACAGATTAAGTAATCAACAGTGTGAGAAATCAGAACAGTGCTTAGTTTGGTGAAATAACAAGAAGGTAGTGATTGGACGAGGGCACATGGGGGTGCTTCTGAAGTGCTGGTAACCTTCTATTTTTTGATATGGGTCTGGGTGTGTTCACTTTGTGATCATTTATTGGGCTGTAACTTATGATTTGTGCATTTTGTTAATATGTTGTACTTCAACTAAAAAATTTTAGAAAAATAATATCAACTGCAATAAATTAACATAAACAAAAGTAGATTAAAAGATGAGTTAACAGTGTAATTCTGATTCTAAAATCTTCTCAGTTCATTAATAAATTCTTATAATTAACACTATTTTCATTTGTGGAATGAGTATTTATTATCTACTAATTGCCAAGTACACACAGTGGCTAAGCATAGAGGCCAGGTCCCTCTGTTCAGGAAGTTTACCTAGTATACCTTTCCTGTGATGCATTTATGTATTCATTAAATAAATATCTAGTGAGCACCTACAATGTATTCAGTTGGGAACATCTTCCATCCTTTAAAAACAAACTTGTATTTATTTGCACAATGGATTTACTCCGGAACATTTCTCATCCTAGTTGGAAGCAGGGATATAGAAGAACCAGAAAACAGTAAAAGTTACATCTTCTTTAACAGAAAGAGAAGAGTCCAGTCAGTGATACATTTAACATATACCATAAAATACCACTCACTGAAAATAAAACAGAGGTAGGAAAAAACAAAATTAAAGTTTTTATACAGTTTTATTACATTAATTGCATATAATTACAGTAAACGGGCTAGCAAAATGGGGAGAAAGTACCTTGGTGAAATTGACGTGGAAGGACAGTTAAAAATGATTTATAGTTAGCCTAGTGGTTATCAAAATATTTGCTTTAAATTGCTTGAAAATATATTTTTCCTTTTTGTTAAGTAAAGCATTTTCACTCCCACTTGCAACCATGTGCTCAAGCTCCTACACAACACAGCCATCTTTTGTTAATAGACAGAGCTACCACCAACAAATGGCACTGATTTTTTTTTATTGCTTAAAAAAATATTAACTGATTTGTATCAATCTCACCAAGACTGTCCAAAAGATAAAACAAGCCACAATGTCCTTCTGAGTTCAGTGCTTAAGCGAGTGATTATCAGTCCTGCCTACATACTTTTGAAAAATGGAATTCTGGCTCATCCCTGATGATTGTGATTCAGTAGGACTGTAGTGGAATGCAGGTACCATCAACATTAATTTAAACCTTTCAATCATCAAGAATTCTAAATAACAGAATCCAGGTTTGTAAGGGTTTTTTTTGTTATCTGCATTGCTATTTTCTTTTTCTGAACTTTATTCAGTATTTCAGCAGTAGGCACATAGTAAAAGTTAATTCAAAGTATTTAACTGAGTGACTTTCCAAGAAGAGTATTTCTACAAAAATAGAAAATAAAATTTTTAAACAGTGAGAACACACTTATAAGAATTACTTAAATAGCAAAACAATTTACAGAGAAAATGATGGAATGGAAGTAATTTCACATGATCTGAAAAGAAAATGTGGTATTGCATATATTTAACATACTTTTGCCATATAGAATGTCCTTTCCCCATTAGATGTAAATTTTATGCATTAAATGCTAAAACTTTGGAATAATAAAAAACTGTATTCACCTTTGGTAACTTACTTATTTAATCAGAACAGGTTTCTAATATACATAAACAAATAGCTTGGATTTACTTTATACGAAAATTGTGTTACCTAAAACTTCACCAAAAAATAAAAAAACTGCACATTAAATGCTCAAAAATACTAAGTAGTATTTTCAAATCTAAGTACAGTTTTGGGGTGAAATTTGTTGTCTTTATGGTGATAGTTGAACTGGTCACTAAGCAAGTCTTGTTTTAGAAGTGGTTATTTTGGTAGTTGTTGATATGTGCTGGCAGTGATATTGGCCATAGAATCACCTACGGTACTGACAGTAGATGCAGATTCTGGTGCGGGAACGACGATATCAGGTGTTCAGATTTAATTTGTAGGTGTCTTAACTATGGGTGCGATGGAAGAGGTCATTATGAAATTGCCATTCATGTCAAGTGAGAGTGGTGGTATGACCTACTAGATTTACTAGAAATAGTGACAGTTTCTGGTAATGAAAAAGTAGTGGATGGCTTTGAATAAAATGTCAATAGAAGCTGTAGTGCTTACAGAGTCGAGTGATAGGGTATTTAAAGGTTTAGTAAATTTTTGTCTGTTGTCAGTTTCTGGTAATGAAAAAGTAGTGGATGGCTTTGAATAAAATGTCAATAGAAGTTGTAGTGCTTACAGAGTCGAGTGATAGGGTATTTAAAGGTTTAGTAAATTTTTGTCTGTTGTAGAAGTACATATAGTAGAAATGGTGGTGCTGTAGAAATGATGTTGCAGTAGAAAAGGTTACACTGTAGGATCAATCGACGTGACGGTTCCTATCATGAAATTTCAGTACAAGTTATGGGAGTAGCACATTTTGTTGAGGTTGATGTGGTTGTGATGGCCATGGAATCATTTGAAGGGACAGTGGAAATGCTGGCTGTATTGTGACAGTAGATTACGTAGATGCTGTGGCTGCATTTTTCTAAGAAGTAATGATTGTTACTATGGAGATTATAAATTCAGCTGACATTGTTGTGGTGGTGTGATTGGAGAGCCAATTGAGTTAGTAGTATATTTGTTGCCTTTATTTTTAGTCGAGGTGGTGACAGTAAAGGTTAAAGATGATGCTTTAGTTGTGTCAGAAAACAGAATAAATTCAGTCACTGAGGTGGAGGTAGCTGTTGTGAAGGGTGTAAATTTAGTTGAAGAGCAGGTAGTAGTGTCTGGAAATTCTGCTAAAGTGATAACAATTTGTAGGTTTATTTGAAATAGGAGTAATTCAGGTTTGAGTTGAAGTGGTTGGGTGGTGGCTGTTGTGGCTGCAGACTCAGAGGAAGCGCAGGCAGTCCTGGTGGTGGTAATGTGGAGTGAAGCAGTGTCTGCCTTTGTAGTGCTAGAGCCAGCAGAAGAGTAGCAGTGACCATTGTGGCGGTATGTCAAAGGAAGTTCCTGCAGTCATTGTTGGTTGTAGTCTGTTCAGTTCCACTGCTGGTTGCTGCTCTTGTTATGAGTTCAGTAGAAGCGGTACTGGTGTCTGTTGTGGATGTAAGTTCAGTGGAAGTGCCTGAAGATTTTGGTAGTTAGTTAAGTTGAAGTGGTGATTACAGTTGTGGTTATTCCTTAAGTAGAAGGAGTAGTGGTGGGAATTGCAGTTGCAGCCTCAGTGGGTGTCCCTACATTTGTGCTGGTGGTAGATTCGGGTGTAGTACTGGCAGCAGTTCTGGTTGTAGGTTAGATAGAAATACTGCCAGTGGCCATGGTGGCTCTTATCTCAGTGGACGTGCCCACAACCATTGTGGTGGCTGATTCCATTGTAGTGCTGGTTGCTGTTGTGGTTGTGGATTCAGTAGAAGGGCTAGTGGTGGTTTTGTGGTTGTAGCCTTAGTGGGTGTGCCTGCATTCGTTGGGGTGGTCGATTCAGTTGTAGTGCTGGCTGCTGTTGTGGTTGTGAGTTCAGTTGAAGTACTAGTGCTGGCTGTTGTGGTTGTTGCCTCAGTGAATGTGGCAGCATTTGTTGTGGTGGCCAATTTCATTGTACTGCTGCTTGCTGCTGTGGTGGTGGATTCAGTAGAGGTGCTGCTCGTGGCTATTGTGGTTGTAGTCTCAGGGGATGTGGCTGCACTTGTCGTGGTGATCTATTCAGTTGTAGTGTGAGCTACTGTTTCAATGGTAGATTCAGTAGCTGTGGTAGTGGTGGGTGTTGTGGATGCAGACTCAGAAGATATGCCTGCACTTGTGGTGGTCGATTCCATTGTAGTGCTGGCTGCTACTGTAGTTGTGGGTTCGGTAGAAGTGCTAATGGTGGCTATTGTGGTTATTGTTTCAGTGGATGTGGAAACACTTGTTGGGGTGGTCAATTCCATTGTAGTGCTTCCTGCTACTGTGGTTGTGGGTTCGGTAGAAGTGCTAGTCATTGGCTGCTGTGGTTGTAGTCTCAGTGGATGTGCCTATACTTGTGGTAGTAGTCTGTTCAGTTGCAGTGCTGCTTGCTGTTTCAGTGGTGGATTCAGTACCAGCAGTAGTGATGGGTGTTGTGTTTGTAGCCTCAATGGATGTGGCTGCACTTGTGGCAGTCGATTCTGTTGTAGTGCTGGATGCTGTTCCAGTTGTGGATTCAGTAGAACAGCTGCTCATGCCTGCTGTGGTTGTAGCCTCAGTGAAAGTGGCTGCAGTTGTTGGGGTGGTCAGTTCAGTTGCAGTGCTGGCTTCTGATGTGGTTGTGGGTTCTGCAGAAGTCCTTGTAGTGGCTGTGGTAGTTGTAACCTCAGTGGATCTGCCTGCACTTGTTCGGGGGGGTTAATCCTGTTGCAGTGCTGGCAGATATTGTGGTTGTGGGTTCAGTACAAGTGCTAGTTGTGGCTGTGGTCATTGTAGCCTCAGTGGATGTGGTTGCACTTCTTGGGGTAGTCGATTGTGAGGGAGTGCTGCCTGATGTTGTGGTTGATGGTACTGTAGAAGTGCTTGCAGTGGCTGTGGTGGATGAAACTTCAGTTTATGTGCCTGCACTTGTTTGGGTGGTTGATTCTGTTGCAGTGCTGGCTGCTGTTGTGCTTGAGGGTTCTATAGAACTGCTTGTGGTGGCTGTTGTGGCTGTAGCCTCAGTGGATGTGCTCACACTTGTTTGGGAGGTTGTTTCCATTGTAGTGCTGGCTATGGTTGTAGTCAGGGATTCTGTAGAAGTGCTTGTACTGGCTGTGGTGGTTGTAGCTTCAGTGGATGTGCCTGCACTTGTTTGTGAGGTTGTTTCCACTGTAGTGCTGGCTGTGGCTGCGGTTGTGGGTTCAGTAGAAGTGCTAGTCATGGCTGTGGTGGCTGTAGCCACAGTGGATGTGCCTGCACTTGTTTCTGAGGTTATTTCCACTGTAGTGCTGGCTGTGGTTGTGGCTGTGGGTTCAGTAGAAGTGCTAGTCATGGCTGTGGTGGCTGTAGCCACAGTGGATGTGGCGGCACTTGTTTGGNGTGGCTGCGGTTGTGGGTTCAGTAGAAGTGCTAGTCATGGCTGTGGTGGCTGTAGCCACAGCAGATGTGGCTGCACTTGTTGGGGTGGTCGATTCTGTTGTAGTGCTGGCTGATGTTGTGG